TGCGTCTGTATGGGTGGCTGTCTGTCCTCTCTGCAGCACACCTGGGCTGGATTTGTCCAATTCCACCCCAAACAGCTGAGGCTGGTGTTGCCAAACGCAGGGATCCCCCTGTCGCTGGAGCCTTAGCTTGCTCTCAGGGAGCAAATCCCCTGCGGTGCCCTGGGCTTTCCATGAAATGGAGGTGAAATATATGTATGTATATATATATTTATGATATGATGATATATTATGTGTGCATATATATACACACACATAAAAAACCAAGAGAGAGAGAGAGTGTGTGTCTGCATGTATATACACATATGTTTATACATACACACACACACATATATATGCCTATGGATACACAGTATGTATGGTGGTGGAAAATATATATTATATTTATGTGCATATGTATATATAATTTATATCATATAATATCATATTTACGTAACACATATTACATACAATATATTATATAATATACATAAACATAATACCTATATACACACATATAATACATACATGCATACAAGTATGTGCGTGTGTGTGTGTGCACATATATATATGTATATATAGGATGCCTCTTCCAGTAAGCCTTTATAGCATCGAGCAGGAGGCCGATGCCCTGCGACACCAACTTGGGCAAAGGCGAAGCCACACCAGCCTCTGCACCGAGAATGCACAGAGAGCAGGATGGCGATGAGCACACGGAGCCGAGGCCAAGCTGGGCTCCCCTCCCAGCCCTCCGCCTCCGCGGGCGCTCCGATCGATAGCGGTAAGAGCCTCCCCGGCAGCCTCATGGAGCCGCCAGCCCTCCGCCCTTCTCCAAGAGGATGCTGGAGCCTGGGGCTTGGCCAGGGATCAATGGAGCTGTTTGGGGCTGGACCCTGAGCCCGCTAGAGCCGCAGCATGAGGTTTTTCACCCAAAGGAAATAATAAATATATATTTTTATTGCAACATCAGTGCTGGGCTTTTCTTCGTTGCAGTCACATGGCGCAGGGCTCCTCTGAACCGCAGATTATCTGGCTGTTGACATCAATCGTAATCTCCCCGTGCTGCCTCCAAACAATTATGGGAAAGGCTTGGGTTTAACGATAAAATGACACTGGAGATGGGTTATTGGATTTCCGTGGATTTTCTGCAATCTGACGGCAGCAAGGGCTGAGCAGGGCCGGCGGAGCCGCGTGGGTGCGGGGCAGTGCCCAGCGAATTTAGGAACCACTATCAACATCAGCCCTAAGTCCAGGGGGTTCATCAAGCTCATCCCTCCTGCAGGCAGCACCTGCCTGGTGGCAGGCTCCCTCGCTGCAGGCAGGGAGCCTTTTCTTGGCCAAGCAGGCAGGACCAAGGCAACATCTGCCCAACCCTCAGGGGTCTGGGAGGGACATGGCTGTGGTGGGGGGGCAGCAGCCCCCAGCACAGCAGATTGCAGGCCCCGCATTAGGTACCCCCACCGGCCTTGTAGATTAAAGAATTATGAACTCCCGAAGTTTTGCAATATTAATGATTGTAGCCATCTGTTAATCTGGCAGCCAGCAATGAGATTGTTTTTTACTTCGTTTAGTCCAGTTATTAAAACAGACTATTTTTGGTTGGGCAGGCAGCTGGAAGAGTGCAACTCCTTTTTGTCCTAGGGTAGCTGTGCAATGACTCGCATCCCGTTCCTTACTGCTGTCCCCACGCTATTTCAGGCCAAGAGCAGGTTGAGGAGCTCCCCAGGCAGGAGCTGGCCTGCGGGCAGGGAAGGGGATGCTGTGTGCCACATAATACACAGGCCACTGCTACGCCAGGCAGGACCAAGGGATGTCATCTGAGGGTGGGGGACAGCAGCAGCAGAGTCAACAGCCTCCACCGCCCTGCAAAGCCGTCCCTGGGAAGCATGGGGTCTGTCCTCAGTGCCAGCTGCTAATTATGGCTCTCTTTGGGATGGTATTTTAGATAACTCAGTTCTCTGGTGCACACTCCCAAGAGATAAACTCATTTAGCAGGTTAATTAGTGTCCTTGGTAGAAATGGTACCAGCACTCTCCCAGCCCACCCAGCAGACGAGGCTGGGAAGCATAACACAGGCAGAGGCAGGGTGTTTGGGGATGGCCCTGTACCTCACCCCCGGCTCCACTGGAGCTGTGGCCATGAACTTGCTCACTGACACTTTCATCGTACAAATCCACTATTGCCCACATTGTTGAGACAGTAAAGCTGCCCACTTCACGCTTCAAGTTCTCCGTTTGGATGCGGAAAGATCTCAGCCTCATTGTCCAAGCATACCCTGTTGGGATGTGCATCGCCATTCCTCCCTTGAGCGGAGGTGGAAGAGTCACGCAGCTTTACCGGCAGCACTAGGCAGGGGGGTTGGTTTGTTCTTAAATACCGCACTGAGAACTCCCCACTCTGGCCTGTACACATTTAAGGTTTTTTAGCCATGTACTTCAGAAACCCTATCCATAATCAATGGTGATGCACATACTCAAAACAGGTCTGCTAACTGCTGACCACAACCAAGCAGCCCCGTGGCCCACAGGTACATTACGCTCCTGAGCTAGATGATTTTATTCCCATTCCAGACTTGAAGAACCTAAGACAGCTACACTATTTTCAAATGAAATTTTATTTTCAATACAGGCACTTACTTGCAAAGGTTCTATTTATCATTTGGCAGCATCAGCTGTACACACACTTGCTAGAACAGCAGAGTTCTGTTTGCTAAAATACAATATTTGGATGAGACAGGTCTAGCTGCCCATTTTCCTCTCCAAACTATGTATTTCAATTTTTAATGAGCTGTGTTTGTCTCAATTGTACCTGGAGCAAAGCAGACGAGATTAGCCTTCAATTTACCTTTGGGGTTATACTAGTCATCGTCTCAGGGTACTGGGAAGATGTTTTCTACTGTGGTTGATGGTAATGACCGTACCTGGCTATGAAACCCATGCCCAAAGTCAAGTGCCAATCTTCAGAGAAAGTCTTTTTCTCATACATAAAAGATTATATCATTATCTACAGTATAATCCCCACTATAAGGGCTGCTGTAATTCATTAAAATTCAGAAGTAGATAAATAATGAATAGACACACTATTTACTTACAGTAAATAAGCAGTTCCTAGCCTTTCCTTGTGATAGTAAATCCAGGTTCGAAGGAGTAACAAAACATCTGCCCTCACCTGCTCCCTCTCCCTCCTGTGCCCAGTCCTGCACCGGGCACCAAACAGGGCGACACTGAAGTCCATGCCCAGCCCAAGGTCAGTCCGATATTAGGGCTTACTTGGTTTTGCTGCTGTCTTTTTAGACCCACAACAAAGCGACAAAGCACCACGTAACACCCAATTGTTAGCACGCTCGGGGATTAACAAAATTTGGAGAGTTGAGGACAGAAGCCTCCAGGGCAGGCGGCTGCCTAAGCTCTCCGCAGAACTGGGAGAGCACCAGAGCGCACCACAGGCCAGACTGCAGGTCAGGAAAGGAAAGCTTTCACAGCAGGGCAAAGCAGAGAAAACAGAGACAGTGCCTATGAAGATTAGTGTTTGCAGCCTCCTTCCCGTTCTTTTTTCTCCCCCTCAGCCATACGAGGAACAGGGACCTTCTACCACTCAGGTAGATGAGAAAGGTTGTATTATTAGCAACATGAGAGAAACACCTCTTGTGGAAACTGGGATGAAACACCACAGTGCATCTTTAGGAGCACAGACCAGACCGAGACACCACGTGGCCAGCCCTGCCAACAGTCAGCAGAACCAGATTCCCGAGTGTCAGGGAACTTCACCGGCCTCCGCTTGTCCTGGCTGAACTTGGACAGCATGAGATAAAGGTGCGACAATTTAAAAAAAAAAAAAAAAACCAAACAAAAAAACAACCACAAAACCAAAACCCCAACCACAAACCAAACCAAAAGACCCACAAAAAACCCCAAACAGAACTGACAACATAACGACAGAATTTCTACAGTTTTACTTAACATTGGGTTGTTTAGATACATGTACAGTTTTGTAGAAAACTTGAATAATACCATAGAGCTTATTTAGGATAACAAAAGCTGCAAGAGCCACTGAAAGCCTTAAATGTGCAAAATACAGTTCATCACATATTAAGATTTTTTTTTTCCCCTGGCTGCCAAACCAAAGCAGACAGGTATCACAGCAGGGCAAAAAGAATATAAGCCAGGCTAGAAAGTATTTCTCTATTTCTACCTCCACAGTTCAAAAGTTAACTCTTAAACTTACCACTATAGTGAGGATTTGAGAAACCAAGAGAGCCATCAGCACCAGTCTAACAGTCACCTACTGTAGAAAATAAAAACAAAGCCCCACAACTTGAAAACCCTGAAAACTACATTTTTTTTTTTAATTTACAAACAAAACAAGCTATTTACTGCATTAGGCCTTCCTGAATCTGGTTTCTTGAAGCACGTAAGAAAGCTTCAATGTTCTTCAGCCTCAAGAGTGGTTTATCTTTTATAATTATACACTAAACAAAAAAGATGGTGTGCAAACAGCATTTTAATGCATACTGTTGTACACCTGTGGAGAGGCAGATCTCCCTTTTTAAAACTTTTGCTCTCTCAGCAGCTGTTCTGCTGCAGACATCTCGCCCACAGCGCATCTGTGCAACACAATGGAAGTAAAGACTTGTGGTGCTTTCCACGTCATCCGTATTTCTCTCACCTCATTCCCCCCCCATCAGCATCTCTCTGTAGACTGGCTTTTTTAAAAACTTAAACCCGCTACCTCTTTAAACAACTGCTTAATACATGGACCTGCAAGAAAGGAAGTTTCCAAAACACATCTGCTGAAATACAGCCACTGTTTACCATCTTAACCTAGGATTTCATTTTTGGATTTGTCTGAAACCAGTTTTTAGCTGAATGTTTTTGGAGATGAGAACCAAAGCAGAACACAAGGGACTCCAGGAAGAGATTTCTCAGATTAAGACAAACTGGAAAATATTCCTGAAGATCTTGCCAAATTACAGTTTTTCAAAAATGTTTATGAACTTTGAGACTTCATGATGAGCTGTGGTACCAAGGGGCAGGTGCCTTAATCCCTGGGCAGAGAAAAAAAAAATTAGTTAGTATACTTCAGTAATTTTTGTAACAAGGTTATAATAAATGACATTGACATATATTTGATACATGATATATCAAATGATACATTTAAATATCTAACTGATAAGTAATATTGTTGTCATTGATATACTTTCTTGTTAAATTCTAAAATACAGAGATACTCACTGCATTGTGAAAGAAGTTGCAAAGATGCTTTGCCCATGGACACCTGAAAAACAGATAGAGATTCTTAATCCATTTTCTCATAGGGACACACCTGCCCCCAGTTTCAGCCACTCTGAGTTTTGCATTGATCAAAGCTTTCCAAGAAGGCTAATCCAACAATTCACTTCAACTTCCAAACGGAGATGATCTCAGCATCAGATGTACAGTAAAATAATTAAGATGAATATAGACCATAAGAAACAGGATTTCACCAGATTCTCTTGGGTCACTGCTGGAGCATACTGTAAAGCCTCACAAAACAAAAAAAAGACAGTTAATGGAATTGCAAATTTGTTAAATACAGCTTAGCTGTACACAACTGAGTGAAATTAGGTATTTTGTTTTCTCAACTACACACAGCAAAGGCTGGAGAGTAGAAACAAACAGAAGCCTGTCACAAAGAAGGTCAACTTACATGTCCATGATACCCACTTAAGACAGCTACTAAGTGAATTCTCAACATTACTCTGCTGCTGTCAGCTATGTGTGAATTAAAAGTGCCAGAGCACGCAATTACTCTGCCTTCCAGTCTACAACCACAGAGTCAATTCATTTTAAAACTATTATGTCAATACACTAAAGTCTATCGCTCTAAAGCCTATAATGCATTACTGCAGAACACAGGAGAGCAAGGATTATACTTACAAACAACTAGTGGTTTCAAAAGCGACATATCAGTGTTTTGTTATAATTTGTAATCTAAATAAAGTGCTCAGACTTTTTCAGAACTCTGTATTCCCCATCACTGAAGCTTTGTGCTGCTGCAGAGCAAGCGGTCTCTCTTCTTTTTAAGAGGATAAGAATGACAGGCACAAACTTAATGCTGTCCTCAGTTTGCATTACAGTGCATATATGTTCCCGAATCTTTAGTTTTTGGTGGGGATCTACTCCCTCACCACCACATGAAGCATTTCTTACAAGTTTAAAAGCAATGTTGATATCTGTACACCGATCGTATTCTTGCAGATACACAATAATATACATTTTGAGTGACTTTCAACTATTTTCTCTAAAGTTTTATGCAGTATTATGCCTCCTTAGAGTCCTGTAGCTACTTTGCTGTAGGTCCTAATTAACATTTTTTGTTTGTTGTTGATGACAATGATATTTAAGTAATAGAACTAGACTGTACCCTATGTAATCTGATGACAGGGTTGCCAAGAGCAGATAACACGTTTTTCATCACATTGGGCACTGGGGAGCAAGAAAGCCATTTGGTTGCAGCAGGTAACATAGAACAATTTCAAATCTACCCAAACCATTGTACTCAGTATCTTTATTTACCAGTTACCACTGCTAATAACAGGGAAGAATAAAAAACAAGAATGAATTAAGACTGTTAATTAAGAGAAAACTACCATCAGTGTTGCAACACATAATGGTTTTCTATTTGGCTACGATGAAGATTCACACTTACATATGCAGATTCTCTGTAATAATATTCAGAGTGAACAGGCCAATGGACTGCATCTTCTTATGTCTGCATGTCAGGAACAGGCAAAGGAATTCACCCACGTACTGGGGACCAAGGTTTTGCCACCTAAGCAATATAAAATCAGGAAACAGAACACAGCTGTTCAACAGGGACAACTTTCCTACTGATTCCTAGCATCTTATTTGCATTCCTGACTTACCCAAAGCACTGGGCTGGCTGGTTTCAAAGAGCTAAGGATTTTATCTCTGCTAAACATTACTGCTGCGGGACTGCTCTTACTGCTTCCATAAACAGACAGACTTCAGGCAGCAAGTGTTTACTCACAGTTTTAGCATTGTTGCTTTCTGACGATTTAGATCTCTCAAAATCAGGTTGACAGTGCCATGTAGAACATGTTCTTCATAGGAAAGATGCTCCAATAACAGCCTCAGAGCCCAAAAGTTATTCTAGGAAGGGACAAAATAAGACCAGTGATTTAACCTAATTCCCAATAATTTCTTAAAAAACAGAATAAAATTAAAGGTCAGCACAACTAAAGGGGAACAAAACCAAGTTACATGTGTCTAAAATCTCCAAACTGGTGCTATATAGATTTTAAATATCATTTGCTTTAATCCCTTAGAATAGAAATCAGTATCTAGGACTCACCCCAAAAGCCAGGGCTATCTCCAAGAAGGAAGTCAAGTATGGAAGATCACAAAAAAGCATCTGTTGTACTGCTTGCACTGCGAGAATAAGACAAGCCTCATGGTGCAACTACAGGAAGAGATATCAACAAGACGACACATATTTAAAAGCCCACTTTCCCACTACTTGTATATTGTATTCAGTCAAATCAGCACTAAGTTATACCATTCCAATCAGATAGGTTTGATGTCAGACATGACATCCACAAGAATCTTATGAAAACCGAACGAGGGGGAAATAGAACAGGTACTTCTATTTATATAGCATGTTTCACCTGGTGCTGTCCAAGTCCTCACAGAAACATGAAGTCTGACACCATCACAGAAGCAGAAGTAGAATTAAGTGGAAAAAAAACTCTGGCCTAGGAGTCACATATTTGGAGAGTAAGCTAAATGTAATTTCCTCAAAAGTAGTAAAAAAGAATAAGATAGCTCCTTAGATGTATTGACTGTATTTAATATAGAATACATTTCAAGCCATCTTTAAGCACATTCCACTACACTTGAAACCATCATTCAAAACAAGTTTAGAAATTCTGGGCTGTTCCGAGTTTTGAGACGAATACATTGTCAAGTCTCAAAGGATAGTCTCCAGTTTGAATCAAACACCACAAGATTACCCTGTGTGCAGTTAAGACAGAATCAATTACTACCAACCCTCCCACTTTATAAATGCATAAATTTGGACAGTGACGAAGTAAGACTTGTCCCACGTTGAAGATGGTGACAGACCAGAACATACTCTAATAATTAGTTTTCCTGCCTTCAGATATCTGCTCTAGCCTTTAGACTGTGCTAAGAACAGTCTTATGCTGATTCCCCCCTCAAAAAATCTTCAAGCCCCCTCTTAAAAGCTTTTCATAATAATCCAACTGGTTTCAATACTACTGTATCTTCAAGCACAATAAAACAAATGGTAAATTTCCTTACTGCCATGTGCACACTTACATGAGGAGAGAAAATAGCAGGTGGTAAAGAAACATTAATTTTTGCCTTCAGTTCCTCCAAAAGGCCACCACTGGCAGCGAGCACTCCCTGCAACAGAACTAATGAGTCACAAGTAAAGAGGAAGGGTGTCCAGACACTCTACAACCATCAAACAGTGCCCAAGATGGTTCTTTAATGTGCTTTTACTTATTTTTTCAGCATTTTTACAGATGAGGTTGGCTGTTCAACATCATACTCAAGGAAAGTTGAGGCTCTACAGCACTTACCAAACCATATCACATAACCTCTTCATTTAGCAGACAGTTATTTCTGTTCTTGTGAAGAAAATACCCAGATACTGACTCTGTAGGACTATCTGAACACATTTTTCTTAAACTGTTTTCCTATCCATTTTGTTATCTGATCCAGCTCAACATTAAAAGGTATAGAATCAGTATTAGGCATTGAGCTGTAAGCAGAGTTAATCTGTTTACTGCTGTATTTAACACTCCTGTATCACAACATTCTGCAAAGTTGGCACATACCACAAGAGTATTTGATGAGGCACTGTAAAGTTAACCTTAGTATTTAGAAGAACAAGCCAATGCCCACATCAAATGAAGTCTCGTATAAAACGAGGCAACAGATTCTCTCATTTCACAGTATTGGTTCAGTTACCTTTTGGAAGTCAAGCGGTGGCTCTTTCAGGGATAGGGGATGTAGGTGCCCACTTTTTTCCAGCAAACTGCTACTACCCAAAATCATGATGAGGGAACTCCAGCATTTAGGCTGAAACACAGCAGAACATTTGTTTACAAAGTCAAACGCGTTCACAGAGGTGTGAAATATTCAGAAAGAAAAGGGTTCTGATAGTAAATCCTTGCATTAGAGAAGTAACTGGACAAAACAGGTAATATACAGGAACACTCGATGGGCCACAGAAACAGTTTTAATACAGACTCACATTCCTGTATAGCGACACATTGCTGTAAAGGAGTTTGAGCGCCTGCTTAATTAGAATACCATCTTTCAAGGGAGACCCTGCAAGAAGAAAAAAATCCAAAACACATCTTATATTCCCTGAATAACCATAGAGTGTGAACACAAACAAGGTATTAACTTAGTTACAGATATGTTTCTACAGAAACCTAACAAAAAGAGACAAATGAGTGTCTACAGCTATTTCACAATTTTTTGTAGGCTCTGAATAGAAAAACAACATCAACTGTAAAATGCTATTCCGGAGAGCTGCAGAGAACTGAATACAGTTTAGACTAAGCCATCACAGCAGGTGACCCACAACAAAGTCTTCGTTATGTACATTACGCCACAGTACAGCACAATACACACTATCAGTATCTCATATGGCTAAGAATTCTACTAGTAGCTGAACATCTCCAAAATAAATCTTTCATTTCAGAATACACCTTGACAAGTAGCACGCACCAAGACAGGTGATCACAGTTATCAGTGGCGGAACTAATGACAGAATGTAATACACAAATCATGAAACCCTTTCCATCAGGAAACTTTTATTCTCAAGGTCAAGGCTGAGGCATACCATAATGCTAAGTTACACACTGCCATTGGTAATGCCATGATGTGATAGAGAGCTTTGTATTTTCTTTTAAGAGATTGCTTTCAGCAAAACAACTTCACAGCTGAAAAAGCTACCATTTTGTGTGAAGTGTACTAAACAAATTCATGCTCAAATATAAAGACATTCTTCCTGCCTAGTGTTATGTACCATGCTTTAGTCTGGACAATTTATTGTTGCGTTCAGAATCCCTCAGAATGTTGCCAGATTTAATGAAAAAGTAAAAATTGTAACTAAGTAAGGTTCTAAACATACGTAAGCAAGAAATCACACTTGCCAACTGTAATCCAGGGCCCAGAGTCTAGCATGTCCTTTCCAGTGGGGACACTGCCTGTTCTGAACATCTTCAGGTAGACCTCAAACTGAAAAGGCGTTATCCGGCAGGCAGTACAGCAGGCGAGGCTATTGACGGGAAACAGCAGCGAATGCGCAGCATCGAGGAAGTCTCCAGTTTTACACAAATAGAATGGGATTTTATCTCGAAGGTCTCTTAACCTGGAAAAGGGAAGAAATGAATATCTGATTTTCATTAACATGAAAGTTTTACAATATGTATGTATAGATCTGGTTATGCTTGACCACTAATAAGTTACATCCAATAAGGCAGAAGTTAGTTGCAATGCAGTATTACTTTCACTTAGCAAACAGCTGCCAAAATCCTACTGCTTTTCATTCTGCCGGTTTATTACACATTGAAGAAACGCAGACTGGGACACAATCTTAAGGCAAAGAAACAATTAAGAAAAAATTAAGAAAAACACATTTACCCTTTGGTATCATTGCATTTCACAGCTCTCAGGTAGCGAACAACTTCTTTATAGCTGGGGAAAAAAAGACGGTGAGTAGGAAGAGGAAGGAAGTGCAAAGCTATATACAGGTCAACCAAATATTTACTACAATTAATGACGCAGAACAGTAGATCTTCCCACACAAGACACATTGCACAATAGGGTAGAAATACAACTGGCAGAAAGAGACAGTTGGAAATAAGTTCCAAGAAGCTATCTACAGATTATCTCTGTACTCTGGCAAAACAAAACAGGAGGTTGCCTTTCAACTGAATTCTGTAAGTGGACTGTATTCTTTTGAATACAGACTTCTGAAGACCCAGAGACCAGAAAGCACTTTTTTTTGCCACCTTCCACCTAGTCAGCCTTTGATGAACAGAATTTGTTTTAAACATCAACATCTAAAACCTATTGGGTTTATGGAAACAAAGACATTATCCACTTCAACATTCTGTTATGGTCCCGAAGTGTTCAAAGGGCTTGATTCTACTTTGAAAGACTTCAAAAATGCTACTGGCCTTGTTGATAAGAAGTAATAGGCATGAATGGCTTCAAATGTGTCTTTGTTTTGTATGTTTCCCCATGATACAAAACTGCAGATGTTAGGAAAACACTATATTGCGGTCAATACCATGCAAAATGTAAAAGTTGAGTTCATAAAATGAAAAATCCAAAACAAGACCAAACCGATCTTACTTCTCTTTGTCTACCAATTTCTCCACTCGAGCCTCTATAACAGGGAGTGTTTCCCACAGAAATACTTTTCTTCCTTTCTGTGTTCTTTGACCGGTGATGTTCTGGCCTTTTAAAACAGTGGTCAGTAATCCATGGTCCCATGGCACAACGTTCAAGCTGGAAGTACAAAAATAAAGTCATTTTTAACCATGTTTTGTTTGTACACCACAATTTATTTCCCTTAAGTAACAGAAAGATTTACCAGTAAAACATTTTGAGGTTTACAGCTCAGTTCTGGGGGAAAAAAAAGAAAATAGGAAAAAAAAAAAAAAAAAGGAGAAAAGCTATATGGACAACAACTTCACCACAGCATCAAACAACAATTTTTCCTGTAAGGACAGGAGAAATACAAAGCAGCTATACTGAAATCTTCCTATAAAGTGCTCACACCTAACACTATCTGTGAAAGAACCATTCTATATAGCTGTTTTCAAATTAGGCAACTGTATAAAAATATATTCTGTAAACAAAAAACAAAGAACATACCTATTTGAGAAGCCAAAACAGTGACATGGAAGTGAGATGGACTGAAAAAAATTAACAAACTTTTCATACAAATTTTTTGGAAAGTCACACAATACCAGCATCCTCTGAAGTTGTGTTGTGATTCTGTTTTGAAAAGAAAAAAAAAAAAGAAAAATCAAAATCTCTTAAAATCAGATTAATTACTATTAAGTTGTTGCAGTTTTTTTTATCTTATGGGAAGCTATTCTACAGAAGTTTTGTGGTTTTTTTGGTTAAATGTCAGACAGTTTCGATCTATATTTAAATTTGTGCTTTAAGACTCTTAGTGAATAACGGTATTGCTCTTTTGTCATTATTTTTGAACACCAGTGAAATGAAGGTTCTGTAGTCTTAAGTTTTCAAACAAAGATCCCCAGTGAGCATATGCGAGAAACACTGCAGCAACATATGATGAACTTGACAAGCAACCTGATCAACCTGAGCTTCTGGCAGCTTCACAGCTAGTGAAACCATTTTTGTCTTAACTGAAACCTGGAGATAACACACTGACACATAGAAGAGTTTACTCCTTTAAAATTGGGGGAGGGAGGCAAAAAGTTCTTTTTCCTGTTCTTTTAAAGTAAGAAATTAAAAAAAATCAAGAATAGTAATTTAAAATGAAAACTGATACAGGATTTAGGTTATACCTGCCACTAGTTTCAAATAAGAGGTGAGCATATATAATTGTTTTTGAGCGCTCCTTGAAAAAGTTAATTCTTAATTCATTAACCTTCTGTTGCAAGTGAATTTCGGGTTAAAGGTGAAATATAAAGCTAAAATGAGAAATGAATTAAGCCAAGTGAGCTAGATGACCTCATTCATCAGCCCCTGGGGGAACTTTACTATGTTACATCCCTGACTACTCCATCCCAGTGGAGTACTACAAGGCTGCTGTTTTGATCTTTAACAGACACTATTTACTCTTTGGCTTAATAACCACAAGTAGCTACCTGACACCACCTTCTGGTCTGGCCTTACAGAACACTCCTAGACTACAGTTGAAAAGTAATCCATCTTCTTGGCTTTGAGTTCCCCATTGAGTTATTCTCCTTCGAGGCAACAAAGAAGGGTTTGAACACTTATGTGGCTCTAAATAAGACAGGTATTGCCCTTGCCCTTCACAGAAAGGAACTAATATTCAAAAGAACTTCTGAAAATCCTGATTTGTGGAGTACAGCTGTAGAACCTGATAGCATGCTGAGGTCCCTGCTCATTAGGTTGACCAGTGCATGTTATTGTTTGTATTCTTCTGCCTGTCCCTACCCATCTGCAGTCTACATGCAGGCAGCAGCAGGCTACCCTTGCTCCGCTCAAACAATACCTAAGCCAGTACAGTGGGGTCGTGTTCCCTGATAAGGAGTTCCTGATGCTACAGAACCATAAGATTATATACCTGTGCAAGTTTACTTTTGGCTTTTAAGAGCTAAAGCATTCACTTTTTTCCTTTATGCCTTTGAATAGAAGTCATCTGAAATGCATATTAAATGCAAGCAGAAAGTTTGCAGCCAGCAACCAACCCACTTCCACCTCATCATATGATAAGACAGCCTTACCTTTGCAACAGACAAGGGACAGCAATCTTTAATGAAGCAGTATGACCAAGGTTCTGCCAGCTTCTAAGAGGGGAGGAAAAAAGCACTAATTAATGTTTGGCTTGTTTTCCTGCCTTTTCCCCTTCTCTATACTCAACTGTTTAAGATGACGCTTTTTTTTTTTAAAAAGCATTGGGAGCAATCATGCTAATAAAAGTTTTTCCAAACTGATAAAACAAGTGCAAAGCGTGTAAAACACATTCTAGAACTAACACTGTTTTACAGCAGTACCTAACCAACTGCAGCATACCTCCTCCCCAACCCAAGCAGAACCAAACCTTCTGACCTGCTGTATTAGACCATCATGGGCACATCTTTGCTTTTACAGGGCCCCTGAAGGGCTGTATACCATCATCCCATGAGGGCCAAACCACACCCCATGTAACTACAGTGAATGCTGTGGGACTCACAATAAGCGTACAAAGAGAGACCTACCCAAATAACGTATCCAGCTCGCTCCTTGCAAACCTTGAAAGTTCCTCAGAAAGAATTGCAGAGGAGCTGCTGTGTCTGGCCTGTCAAACCAACCCAGACCACATTTACTTCTCCTTTATAAAAAGCCTTGAATTTAAGCCCCAAAATATTTAGGTTTTGCAAAGCAAAGCTCTGTGACCTTGCTCAAGCCAGACAGTAATCTAGCATGAAACAGCCATGATATAAACAAGAAAATAAACAGCACAAGTAGTAAAGACTGAAGTATTTAAGCTCTGTTTTTATTTATTTATTTATTATGCAGTCCTCCCAGCTGGTAGGTCAGCCTCCAGACTTATGGGAGGCATCTGAAACTTATTACCCAAGGAACATCACATCCTCCCTTCCTTCCAGTTCAGAAGCAATATTTCTTCACACAATGCAGCTTGTGCACCCTCCACTCAGCAAAGCTTCCCTGCCCCTCTACCTTCTCCTGGGGAATTAACCTTACCGGCCACCATCTGCTGCCTGTCACCCTCCCTCCACCCAGTTCCCATCTCAAATTCCTTCCTCTTGTTGGAGACCATCTCCCCTCCTCATGACTCAATCCCACTTAACTTCTTCCTCTCACATCCAACCTTTAACCTTCTCTTTTCCCCTAAATCCCTCCCCATAACCAATCTCATTGCTCCCTCAGGTGTACTAATTTTCCTCTCACTGTGCTGCAGCCAAGGCTGTGATCTTTACACTGTCCTTACTCTTAATAAATGGAAAACCAGAACTCTCTCACTTAGTCTCCTCCCTTTGAGAAGCAAATGAAGGTTACACACTAGATGTGGAACTGGATACTTACAAAGCAGGGTCTTTATGAAGTGCTATCTCTTTAGCTGCTCCCAGAAACATGACAGCAGCAGCTTTAGGACTCTCTCTTTCTGCCTGATTTAAAAATCTTGTTACCAGCGCAAAAACTCCAGAATACCTAAGAAAGTTATGTAGTCTATAAGATAAAGCATCTGCAATGATGTACTTTGTAAACAAATGGCAATTATAATCATTCTACAGCTTGAGAGAAAACTGACTTACTGTTCCTTGAAAAGCGTCTATAACATAATGAAAAGGTATTTGCACAACCATTACTTTAAGCATTTTAAAGGCACATACCGTTGAGTAAAAGCTGAACCCCATCCTAAAAACCAAATTAGTAAAAATACGGGCTTTACTTTCCTGCTTTCCCAGGTTATAATAATGAGGGATATTATCAAGTGTCTTAGTACAGCATAACAGATGTATTTCAGATGTATTTAGAGATGTATTTAAGGGGGTGTTTAAACTACATCCAAG